CATGCAACCAATGGCATCTAACAATCCCTTTGTCGAGCACAACAGCAACAACCCATTCATGCGTATCGAGGCTGCACAAAACGCAACATATGGACATTCAAATCACGGCTGGGGAATGGGAAATGGTTCGGGTATGAGCACACCAATGCAAGGTCATGATGGGCTTCCATCTGATTATGAGGTCAATGTTCCTATCTTTCAACGTCCCGTGCAAACACCATTCACAAACCCTGGAAACCATCAACTACCTCTCTTCTCCGCCAATGGCTCAAGTCATCCATCTCCACAAAAGGACTGGTCCGTTTCAGAGATGGATCATCGTATTCCAAAGCGTATGCGCCCACACAGCCCAACTCTTCGATCGCATCCTGAGATGTCTAGAAGGGGTGATGGTATCCGAAAGAAGAATGCCCGTTTCGATATTCCGGCCGAGAGAAATCTCACCAACATTGATCAACTCATCTCTCAATCCACCGATGAGCAGGAAATTAAGGAGCTCAAGCAGCAAAAACGTTTGTTGAGAAACCGACAAGCAGCGTAAGTACATCATCTGATCCATTACTTACATCCATTGGCTAATCATTATCATAGTCTTGACTCACGTCAGCGAAAGAAGCAGCACACTGAGCGCCTTGAGGACGAAAAGAAGCACTACACTGCTTTGATTAACGATCTCGAGGAGGACTTGGCCGAGGCAAAACTTGCTTTGGATGAGTGGGCTCGTAAAGAGCAACACTACCAACAATACATCGAAAGCTTGCAGATGGAGAAGGAAGAGATGGTGCGAACTCACACCCTCGAGACCGGCGACCTCCGCAAGAAAGTGAGCGTCCTCACAGAGCACATGCAAAAGATGGAAAGCACTGCCATGTCAACTGTTCCCAGTTCGACTGGCTTCTCTGCCGACTACTCTGACATTGATGGTATGAACATGGATGGCAATTGGGACAACATCTCCTTCCTTAATGACTTTTCCATGGAAAGTGAGATTAAGGTTGAGAATTCAATGGTTTCCGCCAAGAAGGTCGACACTTCCCTTCTTAGCGAGCCAGAGAAGCCTGCTGCCCAAGGTCTCCTCTTGATGTTGCTCCTTGTCGGTGCTTTTGTCGCTTCAAAGGGTTCTTCTCCCAGCATTCCTAGAATGTCGGATGACGTTCGTGCTGCATCTGCAACACTCCTCGAAGACGTGTTCAAGGATGCTGGCATTCAACAATCCGCTTCTGCTGTTTCTGATGTTGCCAACGCAATTGCTCCTCTCCCATCTGGTTCCTGGTCTACCACTCAAAACCCTTCTTTGGGAGGCAACGAAATGGTCGGCGTCACATCATCAACTCTTGGAGATCTTGCCAACAGTCTTTCGCAACCAACAGAAGAACAAAACAACGAGCAACTCTTTTCATTGTCTGCAGCACAATACAATGGGTTGACTTCTCAAGATTTCCTCGACAATTCTCCTGCTACAAGATCAACATCTCAAGGACGAAAGAACCTCGGTGAATCACTTGCTGCCATGCGATCGAATTCCAAGAAATCGGCCGCAGAGGTTTACACTCGATCATTACTATGGGATCAAGTTCCAAGTGAGGTTGTTAGGAATTTTGCTAAGTTGGTCTCGGAATGTAATTCCAGGAATGGTCCAGAAGAGTGCGATACCTCATCGGGTTAAACTTTTCCAAGTTTCAAACCTAAACATGTCATCCAAAAAACTCTACTTCGACAACACAAATTCTTTTACTCTTCGAATAAAAACTTTACGGCTTTTACGATTTTACGGCTTCATTGCGAACAGAGACTTTGTTGCTCACGCATCTTCTCTTAATGTCTCAATTTGTTAATGAGCGAAATAGCGAGCGTTTGAATTTTTTTACTTGAATTTTCTATTTTATGGCTTAATGGTTCTTATGGTTTTATGGTTTACGGATGGTTATTTTCATTTTCTCCTTTTTTTTCTGTTACTGCATCATCGTCATCATCGATCATAGTTAGCGACGGGTCATCAAACTTGGGACTTTTTCCTTAATTTCATATTGATTATTATTACTTTCGCCAGGCATAAGACGAACATCAGATCGCAGCTGGACAGCAATGGGAATACATATATTTTGTAAATTGGACGGATGGGGATGGAGGATGGGTATTCGGAGGAGATGGATCTCTATTGGATTGGAAACGGGCATTTGGAACGGAAGGGGGTGGCTACTCTACGCATTACACATCGCACACCACAAGCTATTACTAGCAACCAATTTTCCTTATACATTACCACTCAAAAGTTTCATTACGACTACGTTATCACGAACTATTTCATGAATATTATTTTATCAATACCTACAACGACATAAAGATACACTCTACGCAAATACCCCTCTCCAAGTTTGTTCCAAATTGAAGCGTTTGCTTTGAAATACACAATCGATGATTATCTTCGCACATACATACATCCTATCCTATACTATCCATATACCAATTCAGAATGTTTTACGTTTTACGATTACTCGCGATTTCTTTTCCAAGACTCACTCACGATGAGCAATGACATGCAATCATGACTGATGAATGAATGAAGAGGAATGAAAGATCTACCTCGCGGTATTATCGAAGAGGTATCGAAAGATCTAAAACACACCACATCGACCGATTGCGATCAGATCATCGGGATTTCCTTCCAAAAAATCTCCTTTACAGATTTCGGATATGTCATTTTGATGCAGTATTTTCTATATCTCAAGGGACTGTTTTTCTTGTACCTAATTCGGTCCTATCTGTTGTTTTTGACTTGTGTTGTCTATCATGGAATGGGGGGATTATGAGTTGCTTGTTTAGAAACTCAATTTTTTGTATTTAATTTTGACTTCACTCCACATATACCGTAGGATGAGACGAGATGGAACAATCAGATAGGAAAAAACACACAGGAAAATGGTCAATAATACATGAGATTCATATTCAAACTCTTCCCTTTGCTTGACGTGATTGTGAAAATGATGCCTAGATAGTGACAGTGATACGAGTACTTGTTTGTGACTGATTGCTGCTGTGTTTGTAGATTGTGTTGCTTGAACGACTTTCAAGGTTTGTCTTGGGTTCGTTCTTCTGGTTTCACCCCCGGATTCAGTAAACATGTACTTGGCCAGTAATAATGGAGTTTCTCTTTAGACTTGTTTCCATATTTGCCCATGCCCTTCTCGTATGTTTACTCATATTCCGATTATCGTTCCTTCTATCTATCGATATCTCCGAATCAAACACCATGTGCCCACCAAACAGCATTCAAATCAGCATGCTCTGTCTCAAATCCAACAACCAATCTCCTTCTCTCCCTCCTTCTATTCCCCACTACATCACCAGTTCTCTCCTCACATTCTACCTTTCCTCAACTCCACTTGTGAGCCGGGCGATCCAATGACCCTTCACTATAAGCCAATCAAACAAATTCCCTTCCAAGTGTTTCATTTCTACGCCCATCCAGGTTCTCAAAACGTTCGTCCAATAATTACCCCATCATTTCTGAAACAGACTTGTTTCTTTCTCGCCCCATACTCTTTACCCCGTGAAATACGTGGTGTTTCATCTTTCAAAAAAATCAAAAAAGTAAAAATTCTTCACTCCAAGGGTCATGTTGGTTTGTGGACCTCCCTTTCTGCATGTGTGAGTTTTCCCCACATCTTTTTCATGACTTACCTAGGTAGGTAGTGTCTTTTACGATTCCCACCAGTGACCCCACTACTCTGCTCCGGAGACTAGTGCTGTATGGTATGGAGATGTATGTATGTATGTATGTATGTATGTATGTATGTAAATGCATGTCGCCCAATTCGTATTCCCGTCTCACATGTAGATATTATACTATACATGTACATCATCGTCGCTAGACTCACATTTTCCAAAACTTAAACCCTAGCCGCATTACCCTCCGTTTAATGCCGAGTCAATGCTCTCATTCCTCCTCGTCAAGACTCAGGACTCAAGACTCGAGAGGATCGAGGTCCCCACTATCGCGAATACATCTGCAGTAGATCGCAGTAGAGTGCAGTAGATACCCTTCACCGCTTACAATGGGATCACATCTAACCTCTAAGGTAGAGTGGCAAAGACGATATGGAGTTGTAGGTTTATACTACTGCAAACTTTTGTTTCGCAGCTTCGTAACTTCGACAGAGATCCGCAAGTCCACACTAGCAGATAGAGATAAAGTGTTTAGCAGCGGACGAATCCGGTATACATCGCATGGCATTACATCTACATAGCATCGCATCGCATCGCATCGCATCGCATATAGTTTTCTTTTCCATATACTTACAAGTTACATGACATAACATTTGTATCTTCGATTATAACCTCTTTAGGTCTTACATACACATAACATCACAATACATAACCATTTGCCGTAAGTTTGGCATGTACATGACAGTACATCGCATAGCAGTACATGACATATACATGACATAACATGCAAGACCCTTTTTTCTTCAACTCAACTTCGAGTTCGCCACAAATGCAAATCCAAACGCGAATACCATCATGTAGATGCACCATGCAAAAATTCACGAGTGCCTACACATATCACAAATGACAAAAACCTGCAATAGCGAAAATTCTTCAACAACTCAATTTAAAATCACGTGGAATTATACGTATTGTTGATGTAAAACATAACGGCTAGACCAGACGAAAGTAGGCGGACATCCGTGCCGTATTCCAGCCACAGATCGTTCATTCGTTCATATTCGGGCCCCATTCATCCCAAGATATGAACCGATCCGAGATTTAGACGGTTCTAGTACTCTCACAATTAGTGCTCCCAATATGATACAAAAGCCCAAAATGTAATCGAAAAAGTTTAAAGAAAAACTGCTGGGGCTATTTTAAGCACTCAAGCTCACTGCACCGCCTTGCCGTCATACTATATCATATTTCATTCTGCCATATCACATTTTCTCACACCCGGGCCACTTCCAAGCCTCCAACAACGCTATGAAAATCCTCCATCCTTCCCGCACTTAGCGTCCAGCCCACCTTCGCAGCAACCCAGCATTTTGCACTGCGGCGTTGAGTTGTCGTGCCATACATAAAATACATACGTATATGACGCCTTTTTCATCGCTCGCAGCCTCGCATGCCTACGTAGATAGCCCAGTGAAAACTCTTTCCAATTGACTCTTCGGATTGGATCTCTACATCATACATGAAAAGATGAAACGTCCTAACTTTGAGCCTGGGGTACCATGTGAGAACGAACGAATACATCATACTTTGAATGTTTGAACGAATGAGAAAATTCAGAGAGAAGAGAAAAAGCCAAGACCCATTGTAGATCATGTACATACATACAGTATGCAATCCACCTACAGCTACATACCAATAAATAAGGCATTAGATAAGGCACCTCAACAGGATCTGAAACTGAAGCTCGAAACAATTCCCACCCCAATGCCTCGACGCCCCGCCATAATGGATTACACAAAGTCTTTTGCTGTGCTGTGCCACCTGTGGACATTTCAGCACGACAGAGACTTCTAAGACGAAAACCTCGTGAGCATACGAGTCCAGTTCCTGTATGTCTCGGTCATGACTACACCTGACCTGCGTTAATTTGGGGTTGTCTGATGAATTCACTCGTACTCATGCTTAATTACTTAATTAGGTAAATGCTGACTGCAGCACAAGACTCAACTAAAGTAAACTAAAGCCAAAGCCAAACCGAGCTAAGCCAAGACCCTGATAAACCAAGGCGTAAAAAAGAGAGCAGTAAAAATCAGGTTTAGTCGATGAATGTTGAAATTTAATAATAGAACTAGTATTAATAGAGTTATAAATAAGCCAGCCCACCTCAGACACCGTGCAATACGTCAAGATCTTCGACACCAATCCAATGTGACCGTTATGATTTTGATGAAAATAAAATACCAATGAATAGTATTACCCAATACCAGGCCCATACACAAGGAAAAGCCCCTAGTCCAACTGAAGTAGCTAAAGTAACTAAAGACCGTTCGTTCTCTCGATCCGACCCGGAGCTTAGCGAAGCAAAACAAGTAAGAACGCGTGAACCAAACTCATTAGTCGTTCGTCCAGAAAAGTATTTAGTATCTCCAAAGAGTTACCCCACTCCCAGTTCTTAATATCTAGAAGTTCCGTATTTGGATTTCTACTTCTTAGGATTGTATTTATCCTTCCAAATCCTACATTCATTGTAACCAATAGAAATCAGCAAACATCTCTTTACAAGGGTACAATTCTAACCGACATTGCCGAACAGACACTGATAACCAATTGATTTTCCGTACCAATGTACCTCTAAAATGCATGAAGGTAGTGGACGCATATCGTCGCACCCCACTTATTAAAACAATGAACGAACGAACCATCACTAAATGACTGGGAGCGGGACTGCCGCCGAAAAGCATACGGACCATAAGATAACCAGGCTGACACAAGTACTTCATACAAAGCGGAAAATTTCCAGAAGGGGTTTCTGCAAATACTGGGTCCAAACAGGAAAAGGGAAAACTCACCAAGAATTGCCCAGTGTTTTTACACCCGCATTTTCGGCCTTGCGAAGATAGTACGCTGCTCGGTACTGCAAGAAATTTGAGTTAGCATTGACAATGGTAGCGGAAACCATACCCAGAAAGAACCATCAGCCTCATCTTATGACTGGCTAGGAATATTTCGAGAGTTTGCAAGGGGTTAAGCATTCGGTTGAAGTTGCATGAAGGTGGCCCCATTGCTGCCCAAAATGCGACGTAAGGGAACCATGCGTACAGCGCAAGCCACAGTAGTTGTTTGTTGGATCCGAGACTGGTGTCTGAGTGGATGGATGGGAAGTTCTGGCGAACCACGGGCGAACTTACTTTATCTTTTTTACAGCCTGGAGAGGGTAGTGGTCAGTATATTAGATCAGGCAAACGGGAAGATTACGAGCTCGACGTCGAACTTGGTTGTTGGGGAGACGTGAAGACGCTTACCAAATCCTTCTAAGTAGCATCGTGCAACCTGTGATGAATAGTTAGTTTGCCTAGATCAAAATCTATGTACTACAGCATTTTAGCCCGACATGACTGTCGGCAAATTTTTGCTTTCCAAGTAGGAAGGACGACTTGGCAGGCTCACCTCATTCATACTATCTACGGTAATGTCAGTGAATGGCCTGATAATTGAGTTTTCGCGAAAGCTTTATGCATACCTGTATCTCCAAGTTCTGCAGCAGTTTGGTAGTACTACAGCGACGTTAGTAATGTACAAGCGGGCTTCTCCGCGACCCAATGATTTGAATCCACTCACTTTCTGAGCTGCTGTTGGATCTTTTTTGACCCCCCAGCCTAGAGAAGACCCAAAATGTCAGTATTACTTGATTAGGAAACTCATTTCTTGATACTGCCATTGACGATCAAGGGGTGTATAAAAGTCATTAACATATAATTGAATCGTGGCAGGAAGCTACCAGAAACAAAGATGACAACTCAGTGGAATATCCTCACCATTTCTGAAGCAGTTTGCTAGCTCATAAATCGCAATGACAAGCTCCCCCTTGGCAGCTCCCCCTTTCATTTTTCCGGATTGCAGCGCAAGCTCCTCGACTTGTCCACGAAGTCAGCACTATGCCAATATGAGAGATCATGACAGATAAAACCCTATTTGAAACGTGACGGGATACTCAGGGTAGGTACATACTTGCTGCTGCATTTGATGCTGCTGCCGAAAGGTACGTGACGGCTTCGGCTGGACTGGCTTGACATCCCCAGCCATGTCTATATTGTTAGTTAAACCCTGAAATGGTAACAATCAAGATTCAGAAGAGATCGACTGATTCCTCGATCAGGCGGCGTGATATAGGCCGCATAAAGGGTCGTCTTGACGTACCTGAGAGCAAGACCCTGTATTGAATATTAGCAATTGGACCGGAGTGTGCCCCTGACCGAAATCTTTGTTGGCAAGTCCGGCAAAGTCCAAGAAAACAAAGTTGATAGAGTTGGTGAGCTAGCTAAAGCTTCACCAAGTCTATGTCAGGTGAAATTGTGATAGAAATGAACCAAGTAGAGCTTACATATAAGACCTGAGAAAGAGCATTATTGGCACCATGAGGGTCTGCCAATCTTTCAAATAGCTTTGTTGCTTCTTCCAAGTGCCCTTCCTCATGAAGTCGAATAGCTTCCTGGAGATCATCATCCACATTTCTGGTAGCAACCACGCCCGAGGGGTTTCTTCCCGGACTTGTTGCCCTTGAAATTTCTCCAGAATTTCTGTTCCTATGACCTGGTGGACTGCCACAAGATGAACCTGGTCTGCTTATCGACCTCTCATTCTGCTGTGCCAATATTGTAGCTCTCTTCTCCCATTGTACTTCCGCATCTCTATCACCTATCGCGGCCTCTTCCACTGTAATCTCCGGTAAATCACTGGGAACATGCGACGATCCTACCTCATGCTTGCGCAAACCAAAACGTTCTGATATTCTTTTGCTATTGTGCGCTGATTTCGACGTAGATCTATCACTAACATGTGAAGAAATCGATACGCCAGATGTGCCCGAGTTTCCAGATTCGCGCGAGTTGCTCCTGGGCCGTCCTCCAAACAATCGACTGGTTCGCGATTCATTATTCGGTTTGTTCACTGACACCGAGGGTTGCAGGGATGATTCCGAAGAAGAGAAAGTTGGTGGTGATATTACTTCTTGTGTATTTGTATCCTTGTGTCATGTTAGCCATGTTGTAGCAGTGAGGTATGAGTTGGTACGCTGTATGTAGCAGCAGGCTTACACTTCTCATGAATGTGAAAACTGGACCAGCTTCTGGATCGGCGCGTGGAGAATGCGCATCATTTCCTGCGGTTCTATCTTTTTTCTTTAGTAAATCAAGAAGAGGCATTTTGTCATGTTAGTTCAAAGATCTGAGGTTGTTGTTTGGAATAGAAACAATATTGTCTGCGAATATAGCCTTGTGATGACTGAATGAAATTACCACTGAATGAATATGCAGTGTGTGGCTTTCCAGCCGCAACGGTTGCCAAGGATGGCTGCCATTACTTATTATTCAATGTTCAATTACAAGGCATGCAAGGCCTATTCTGTCGCAGAATAGCAGATTGTCGCTGCCGTAGATCTTTTGAGTTCTTGGATGTCTATGCTTGAATTGTTCGTGCTGTGGAAAGGGGCGTATTTGGACTAGTATTCTATGCAAGGTTATCACGCAAGGACATATTGATCTATTGTTCTGATTGTTTTTCTAAAGCTCTTTATACAAATGATTTAACAAGGTCAAGTAATCATTCGTGATACCTGAAATATAAACTTCGCTGTTTATGTAGTTTTCAGAAGGCATAGGCATTTGAGGGGTAAAAGGAGTCTTTTCTCCGTTATTATTGTTGAATGAGGAAGCCCAGCTTCGAAATTGTATGTGAGATGTATATGAACCCCTTCATTAGTTTTGCTCCACCTTCAATTTCTTCTCGGTGATTACATAGAGAAATGCCTTTTTTCACGATACCTTTAGGCAAAGATACTTAGATGTAGAATTAGGAACACTAAAATTCGTAGGATCTAACTGAAGTTCCATAACTTCACAAGTAGGGAATCTTCCAAACCAGCATCTGCATCATGCTTCATGAATATTTTCTTGGGTATCTCATATTCAACAACTGGCACCTTCTTCACATCCTTCGCTAACTCGGATTCAAGCATCTATATCACGTTCTTAGTAAATCTGTTGCACACAAGGTATATATTGACTTACACTTCCGTAAGAGTGATCCAGGAAATCCTCCAAATTGTATGAATGTTTGGTAAATTGTTCCGAAATAATTTTGGCAAGCGTTGCAACGTTGGGATGATAATGCGATTGCAGAGTGACAATTTCCCACAAGCTACTCTCGATTGCATTGGTCAACATCGGATCTTCCTCATCCATCAGGAATGGATCTGAGAGCCCCTCTTCCTCTAAAACTTTCTTCGCTTCAGCCCCTCTGGTCTCCCGATGGATCATGAATAAACACGTTGGGTGCTTCTTCAACAAATTATAGATCCAGGGCACAACCGCAACGACGCCAGATGGAGGAGAGTGTAACGTGAGTCTAGATAGCCTCTTGATGAAGCTTGCGACAAGTACTACTGGTAAATGCGTTGATGATAAAAAGGTATCCAAAAGTCGGAAAAATCTTGAGCGATGCTTCGAATGCAGAATGCCCGTGTCTAGCAGCGAATATAGCTTTCTGTAGAAAGATGGATAGTCTAGATTCTTCTCTTGGATAAGATAAAAGACGCCAGAGAGTGATAGCAACGAAGTTGATCCCCCAGAATTGTAAGAGTCGGTCAGGAAGTCCATTAAAAGTTCGGGTTTGGTAAACCATGGCGCAATGAAATCGGTAATTTTCGAAAGGATCATTTTTCTTCTTTCTTTTACCATCTCCATATTCATCACGGCTAACCATGCTCCTTGCGCTCGCTTCTTATGTTCCGTTAAGGAGTAGAGTGCGTGCGACTTCTTCTTCGGTGCGGGAATGTAAAAATCTTCGAGTTCGTCCTTGGATTCAGGAACCGATGATATCGATGTTAAAATCTCATAAACGGTATCAAATGAATCGTTGCCTGAGTTTCTAGCTTCGCGGGCTGTAACCAGTTTCCTAAAAGTATCAGTAAATGAGAATATGTAGTGGGAAGGCAGTCCTACTCTATAGCTTCAAGTGTGTAAAATCTAACATCATCGTATTCCTCAACAAACTTATCACTGAACTCTTTCCTAGCAGTACTATCACTCCCAGGACGAATGAGAGCCTGAACCATATCCGTAAGAAGGCCTGTAGGGAAACAGTAATCCTGACCATTTCGCAGATGCTGCCCTTCAATCTTCAACATTCTCATGCAAAGAGTTAATCCCGTGGACGCGGTATCTTCCTGGCTCAACATATCAAGAAGGATAATCTTGTATTCTGAATATCTTTCCTTGAGCCATTGGATCACAGTTGCGTCCTTCACAGAAGTCTCTTTGGTTTTCTGTAAGCCCCCAACTACTATCAATTTCGTGAACACCCGGCATAACGATACCGCAGCGAGAATCGACGCATCGGCACCTTCGGAATCATCTCGTGCAATGCCAATTAGCCTTGCAATGTTGTTATAATGCTTCTTCGACTCGAAGATTTCGCTCTCTAGGAGGAGAATTTGCGCCTGTGGATCTTCTTCACTATCCTCGGATCGTGCACGTTTCGAAGGCCCTTTTTCCGACACAGCTCTCTTCCTTTTTGAAGGGCGTATCGAATCAATAATTGCGCCAGGCATTGTTAAATATGTGACGAAATTTAATTCTGTCAATTCTCCAGAAATTTATTTCTCTTATCGAGATAAATCCCGAAATATTTGTTGGGTCCTCAGGCACCCTTACATAAGAAACTTCAAAGTGAGGTGGGAAGCGAATTCCGAAAGAACCTCGTCTCAAGCCTTTCAAGCAATTTGAGCTGCTGTACAATATCTCCCCTCATATCAAAATGGCATCAAGACTATTGACAAGAAGCGCCTTAGGTATGTGGCACATATGGATTTGAGAAATACGCCACAATTGCTATTGGCCGCAATTGACTGACACAACGTAGGGGCCGCTCGTCTTCGACCAGCTCTTTCTTCCCGTACCCTCCCGGCCCTCACATCGATCTCGAGTTCGCGATCATCTTCCTCCAATGTACCAGCAGAGGACCCTAAGAAGAAGGCGCAATCGCTCCTTGACTCTCTCCCAGGCAACTCTCTCGTTTCCAAGACTGCCATTCTTTCCGCAGCCGGAGGAGTTTCCCTGTACGCCCTCAGCAACGAGTACTATGTCGTCAACGAAGAAACCGTTGCTATGTTCTGCCTTTTGAGTATTTGGGGATCTGTCATTAAGTTCGGTGGACCATTGTACTCTGAGTGGGCCACTGGTCAAGTCAACAAGATCAAGAACATCTTGAATGCTGCCCGTGCAGACCACACTGAGGCCGTCAAGACTAGAATTGAGAGCGTCCAACAATTGGGCAGCGTTGTTGATATTACCAAGACTCTTTTCGAGGTTTCCAAGGTATGATGGGCCGTGGAGAATTGAATATTGCGGGGAAGTTTTACTAACGTAACTTACAGGAAACTGCACAACTCGAGGCCAAGGCTTACGCACTCGAGCAACAAACCGCTCTCGCTGCTGAGGCCAAGTCTGTTCTCGACTCATGGGTCCGATACGAGGGACAAGTCAAGATCCGCCAACAAAAGGAACTCTCAGAAAGCATCATTTCCAAGATCCAGAAGGAGCTCGAGAACCCCAAGGTCTTGCAACAAATCTTACAGCAAAGTGTTGCTGATGTCGAGAGTATGTAATTTTTCACTGTTGATACTTGACAAACACTAATCCAGCTACAGAGATTGTTGCATCCAAGGCTTAATAGATTAGAGAAAGGTCATGGGCCATTGAGCGTTTCTTTACTCTATTATGTTTTCAATAAGATACACCTGTGCCATAGTCGACGAAAACATTTCCTCCCATGCATTAATTTCTTTCAAAGTCTAATGATATGTGCATACGGATAATTTCATGGCACTCCATCTGTGTCTGTGACGCTACATCGTGAGCAATAAGGCTTCATCGTGCCGTTTTTAGGTTGAAGTAGAAGTCCTTCGGATTCATACAATGCCTATAGCGCCCATACTCTCTGTCAATGCCAGGTGAGAGTATCACCTGTCGTAGAGGTCAGAATTGACCCTTCAATCTGATGTCTGCCTCGCTGCTTTTGCAATCTCCCGTAGACTCCTGAGAGGGTCCAAGACACTGTCATGATCTGTACCCTTCAACTGTTCACAATCCACTACGATATTCGCAGTCCAATCTTCGCTAGTCCAGCAATTTCGGAAGTATTCTTTTCCCTTCTCGCCAATCATTATGTCCTCTTCAGCAAAGTAAATTTTGACATCCAGCCGGGCACTTTGATTCCTTTCAACTCTTTTAGTCCACAATTCTACCAAGTTCTTAACCATTTCTTCGTAGTCCTCGCAAGCATTCCAGTTACAGTCATCTGTTTTCTTCAAACACAATCGAGCCTCATCACTTAGACCCGTCGTATCTTCCAAGAATGCCCACTTAAAAATTAGACTATCCATCTCTTTTTTTGTCTCTTTCGATACACCGTACGCCTCTCGAACCTTCTGTTCGGCCGCCACCTGATTTGCAGCCCCAGTTGCCGCAGCAGAAAAAGAAGATTTCAAAGTAGAAAAGACCGACCCTGAACTTGCTATCATTGGCGTAGCACTGTTCAGAACAAAATTCATGACCGAACCCCAGTGATTGATCATAGTATTGGGAAGCTTTGAGACAATCTGAAGAAAGGTTGTCGATGACAAGTTTTGATGAACCCAAGGAGAAAGCAGGGTGATCCTGGGGCGTTTCGGGCAGATGATATGAGGGAGAGTGGCAATGATGTTGAGAGCATATATAGTCCCGGCACTATGGCTTGCAAGAGAAACGTGCTCAATGTTAAGGTGCTTGAGAAGAAGAGGAACAGTCTCAAGATATATGGGCAACCGGTCTTGGAGTGGAACGGAGGTAGAGCCCCCGAAACCAGGTCTAGGGAGGCATTAGTTTGGATAATTTTGTAGCCTCACAGGCATGCCATTATTGAATTCTTCAATTGACTGATATTGCGATTCACTATCTACGAGCCACTGGGCTCATCGATACTCGGAATATCAGATTGCAAACGAGGGTGCCTTTAATAAACTGCCCACATAGTCGCGCAACTTTTATGTTTACTGAAACTCTGGACAATTCAATGGTGAGCGCAGCCAGAATCAGATGATACACAAATACTCTGCAACATAAAGGGCAATGCTACCCACCTGTCAATAAAAATCATTCTCACTCCTTCTTCCATGGCTACATGATCAAAGGAGAATGCCAGCCATCTGATCCCTAGCATTCCCACAACAAAGAGAATAGTCGGCGCATTCTCATCTGATGGTCCTGCAATGGCATAGGATACCTTGAGCTCTGCGTGCTTTTCTGTTGCCGGTAGTTTGAAAATCTGGTGGAATTTGATAGGTGCTAAAAGCTCCCTCGCCTCAATTTGTGCTGGCGTTAACGTCATGATATTGTATGTTTGGATGAAGATTGCGTTCAAGATTGACAAAATGCCTTGCGAAAGTTATGTTAGAGATAGTAATAAAGGGCTTGCTTTGGTTGCCTAAAGTGGTTAAGCGTTGAATCCTGATGTCAACAGTCACATAATCTATCACATAATTGATCGATAAACTGAGTTAGATTTGATGTTAAAATCATTTGAAAATAAATTCTTATTATAATGTTAACTTTACTTGGTTTTCGCTGACCGAAGGGCGTACAGCCAGCCTCCCTCATCTAGATTTGAAAGCGATCACGCTAGCCTTTTCTTTATTTCCATTTTTACAACGCCTAAACACCATGCGTGAATGCAGATTTAATGACAGAAGAAAGTTGTTAGACGAGAAGGACACTGGCAGAGTTAGTTTCTGTAAACTTTGTTGGACGGACATAAACTTACGCGTTAACACATCCGTCATTTTCAGGATTGTTAGTGATCTGTGCCCATCTACCCCAAACGACTTTTCCTCCAGCTGTAACCAGACCCAAATCAGACACGTTGACCTCAACGATAGTACCCCGGGTGAGAACACCCAATTGGGTGTACATTGGGTTCTGTGGGTTCTTCTTGACGCTGATGATAGGTAGCTGTACAGTCACACCGAGCTCTGGGTGAGTGACGTTCGCCTGGGCATAATTAGAATCTCCGTGTCAGGCTGAGCGCAGTAGAAAGAACATACCTTTTTGTAACGTAAACCCATAGGTCTAATGAATCGCTCATACTTGACAGGTCTTCTTGTGAAGTCGGGACCAACGAAAGTTGGCTAAAAGGAATCAAGATCAGCATATCGTCACATATTGAATTGCTACCCGTCAATGGATCAGAACGGCATACCTTCGTGATCATACGCTTCCAGCTCTTCTTTGCGGTCTTCTTTCCAGTCTTCACCACCTTGAACATTTCCTCCTCTGCGATACCTCTGACTTTAGGTAAAGGCACACTAAACTTAGCAGCCTTCTCTGCTCTCTTGTTCTTGATTGCGCTCGACAAGGCCTTAGCATTGGTAGGGTTCGATCGATCGAGTAAATATTGTGGCAAGGGTTTGGTCGAAGGTTCGTTTGGCGCAGAAGATTTCACATTTCGTTCTTCGTGAGCCTTGATTTGCTTCTTCATTTGAATCTTCTCATGACGCCTCTTCTGTTGATACAATTTCGCACGTAGACCAGTCAATTTCTGTGCATCATCAGATGCTTTATGGCCTTCTCTTGCTGCCTTCTTTCTCGATCTCTCTTCATGGTCGAGGCGGCGACCATGTAGCTTGCGCCATCTTTCCATATACTCATTTTGAGGCTATTAATGATCAATTAGTATTTTCCCGTGTTGATAAACAGTTCCAGACGTACCATGATGAATTATAATAATGGGTGATTGTGGAATTTTACGGGCTCAAAAAAATTATTAGGTCGAGGCTCATGATTATCGATAACAAATTTCTTAGCGCAAAAATAAAATCTCGCTTAGTCATCAAACTTCAAGCTTCAACAAGTTCAATAATGTAGAATTCAGATATCAAAGACTTGATCGAATATACAACGTTCTCGACCTCAAGATGTTTAGTAGAACGATGAGAAAGTCCTTGTTGGACATACGGATACCAAGTGCAACACTTCCACCAACCTTTTTATTACCAAGCCGAGCACGGTTCTTCAACTCTACAGCACAACATGTCGAACCACCCATCGAGAGCAGCCATGCTAGCCCATTATCCGCAGCATCTCTAAAGCCAGAGAAATCCTCAATCGCATCTTCGGCACCGGTCGCGCCCTCCCCCAGCGCTAGCCCAGTCTCGCTTTCTCCCTCAGTCAAGGAGATGCTTCCCCTCCTCACTGCCCAACAATCGCACTTCATAACCACACACATTTACAGTCGGCCCTACCTTGTAACTGTAGGAGATACAGTACGACTTCCATTCCGTATGCCCGGCGTGGTTCCTGGCGATGTTCTCCGCCTCAACACCGCTTCAAGTATTGGATCAAGAGATTACACGTTGAAAGGAACGCCTTATCTTGATGAGAGAATATTCGAATGCAGAGCGAGAGTTATGGGCACCGAAGCTGAACCAATGAGGATCAAGGAGAAGACGAAAAGGAGAAACAGAAAAACAAAGACTGTCAAGAGCAAGCACAAGTACACTATATTGAGAATTGCCGAGCTCAAAGTCAAGACAGTGGAGGAAATTGAAGGTTAAATTCGATCTTGTGGTATTAAGGTTATGTACTCTCTTCGGTTGTCTGGCATTGAAACTAAGAACAGAGTGAGTGTGAATGGGTTCAGGATTGAGGGAGGGCCACTATGGGATCATTCTGCAACTATATTGCAGATATGCGTGGCAAGCTGCTGTCATTAGTAACACAGCCAGTTCTACATATTGGGATGGGATCAATGTACTATATCAAAAAGACTCTGGATTAGCGGAAGTAGATCCCAAAAGAAAACAAACACCAATATCTTCAGCAATGTGGTCGATGCACAAAATATGGCCTACATTGGGCAGAGCACATGTGAAGTCACCTGGGTGGGCCTTTCCATTCTCATATCCAAATAATTCTCTCTAAAAAAAGCGAATTAGTAATATTTCAGTCTGTATCATTGCGTTCTTCACGTCCAGGACTACTCGCTATTCACTTTCATATCTATCTGCACATTAATATTCTGGGTTCTTCTTTTGGTTGTTTTCAATGTAATTTTGTATTGCTCGGCAAGACATTGGGCTTACGGTGGTTACCGATCATTCTCTTCTATCTTACAAGATCTGCTAGCGATCTGATTGAATCTTATGATTCCCTGACCTACCAGAGGTCTCTCAATCCCATGACTCCAAGGCCGCCAAATCTTCATCATCATCAGTATCAACTTCTGCTTTCTTTGCAGTCTCAACCTCTGCTTTCTCTGTGATCTCAACCACTTTTTGCATCTTCTCCATTCTCGCGACACTTTCTCTAATGTCTTTCAACGCCTGCTTCAACTTTTCGGCAGTTCTATCTGTATTACTTCTCTTGATCTCACATGACTTGCACACCTCGGTGATTTTGACAGTATGCATTGGGTGAGAATACATTGTGTCGCAATCAATAGATGTGGTTGGCGATGTGTCATAGGCAAGTTTCTGATTACAGGCTTTTACTTCACTGCCCCAGCGGGTGTGGCCGCACTGAATGAAGATCATACGCTTGTGAATACACATCTTGCTGGTTGATTGGATCTTTCCTATTATGAAGAATAATACTAAAGATGATATTGAAGCTTTGGTAGGTGTTGCTGGAAGATTTGATGTTGTAGTGTTGAGGAGTTTGAACTGGAGTGGATAGAGAGACCTACGATGGATAATATGACTGCATTTATAGGCATCCTCGTTGAGTTGTTCTGGCAATATTCCTACACTTGACGAACACTTTGGACTCTTCTGTAACTTCTTCTGCATTATTTATCCCCTTTGTTGTCCCACAAGAAACAATGCATTGTTCAGTACTTCTCTTCACTTCCTTTGTGGTGAGAACAAGATTCACTTATGGACAAAGAAATGAATATTGACTCTGCAATGAAAAGTATTGTCTACCGACCTAGCCTAAATTCTCTGGAGTTTGCGCACTCATAGCATTATCTAGGTACGTTTGGGAAATATGTCAGAGGTATTCGCTTATCATGCAAATACACAAGGCACACTTCCAACTCCCACGACAGAATATCACACAAGGGTCTAATTTTCACATTGAAGATCCTGAGAATTGTGCTAACAAGCTGGCGAGGATGGCAATGAGTACTCTTGTGCTTTCATGGAAGCGATTCAAAACAGTAATTTCAGAACTTTCGAAGTTTGTTGAAGACGCTATTCATATCACTCTTAATAATGTGTGCTGACAAGTTGTAGCCGTAATGGTTCTCCATGTAATTTGTCAGACTATAAGTATACAATGCTGAGACACGAAGTTGAATTTGGGCATTGATGCTTCCATGAATGGGCTGCGCAACGGGCATCTGCAGAGCAGGCAATGAGTCTTGTGGGTACCTGTAGAGCAACATTCTTGATCGGTTATTTGCATAGTAGATTATTTGTAGATTCCTGTTGGTATAGACAATATGTGTGCAATCCATTCATGAAATACAAACCGCTCTCTCTGTCACCAGTACTCAGGTATATTATATCACTTTAGAGCTTGAATTCAATAATTGCTTTTGCCATAATGATCCATTAGAATAGTGGGGTTTGTGTGTAATCCCCACGATCCATGGAACCGCTCTCGGAATATATGAAATGCCACCAGATGCTTTAACCTCGCCTCTCAAACTCCTTTCTTATTTTCTACCCATTCAACTACTTTCTCCTGCTTCAAATGTGTCTTAGCATCCGCGTCCACACTCACACTGTCCTGTTTCCCCCTAGTCTAGATCACCCTAAACTTTGACAGTAGCCCCCTTTCTTTCAAATCCCTTGTTATTGCTTCGTCGTGGTGCTTGGTCCTCTTGGCTGGGTGGCTGTTGTCACTCTCATACGTCTCTTTGCAAATCTGACTTAATCTTTCGACTTCTTGGAGAAGTTTGTCATCAACCCTAGAAATCAACGCCGAACATGTAGTCGCAGTGTGTCCTTGACAGGCGACTATATCATCGATCTGAGATTTCACCTTTCGAACTCCTCCCAACCATTGTTTGAATGGTTGGAGAAATCTGCTGGGTATCTGTCGAGCATAAAGCGTTCCATGGCATTCCACAATACTCTCCACTTGAAACATTCCATTGCAGCGTTTGTCCATTTCCAACAGATGCTTGACTTCCTCCAGAGAAATTCCATAGAGGGCCTGGAAAATCAGACCATAATTCAAGTGCCCGTACTTGGTGACTTGCTTGATTGATATCAGCAAATCAAGCCTGTGAGCATTCCTGTTTCGCTCCTCTGCAAGTGTCTCCTCTTGTGGTGATAATGGCATCCGAGAATTCGCAATTCCTTTGCACGATAGTCTAGAAAGGAATTGTTTGGCCTTGATAAACTCTCCTATATTGATTTCCCCTCTTTCTTTCTGCCATGCTGTTTTCATTTCCGCAAAATCGTGAGCGAGTTTGAACAGTACTTCGCTTTGACGATCGAACGGCTCCGGATTGTTTGTAATAAATGATTCACCCGAATGTTTATCAATGTGTTTATTCCATTTTTCCGCTGATAGTTTCCTGGAGATCATCTTGGGGGTATTTGGTAACATTTCACAGAGCAGGCCTTGTTCTGCTGGAACTCTCTCGAACTTTTTGGGTGGAAGATGGATCCGACCCTGATGTTTGAGGAGGCAATCTTGTTCGAAGTTGTTCTGAGATGATTGTTAGTATAGGATCAGCTCATGATCGTATTTGAATGGCATGAAATAGTATTATATGGAAGAAAATGAACAACAATGTGCAAGTAGTGACTTATGATTGGGGAGGGCGGTGATATTAAGAGAGTGGAATGTAGAGTAGTGATATATGAAGATGAAACAGGGAAAGACTGAGAATAGAGTAAGGTGTACCTTGGTTGGTATCCCACTATCCACACTGATAGTAAAGAACCTCATAGTCGAAAGAGAAGCCCCTAGGTGGGATGGTTGGCGAAGTTTCTTAACATTCCATTTTGACAATTTTGACCGAGAGACGAAATTGCAAAAACGATGCATTTTCAAATAGAATGGTCGGTCAAAGATAGGTGCGGATGGTTTTGGCTACAATGAACTATGAAGTTCTTGAATGAATTGTGGGAACTTTGATAGCTATTTGTGACGGAGGCATAGATGGTGAGTATATCGTAGTGTTGGATGATGAATAAGTTTAGTTGTGTATGTATATGTAGGCGTGTGTGTGTGTGTGTGTGTGTGTGTGTGTGTAGGTGTTTTTGTTTGTGTAGGTGTTTGTGCTTGTGTTTCCAGCAAACTCCCAGCTTTAAGAATTGCATTCAGTCAGTCTCGCTTCCCCACAGACTAGTGCATAACGAAATTCTTTGAAACTATGCCGTTAATGATTCATTCACTACTAATTCACTATGAGATATTGTTCTAGGTATGAGTGCAAGTAAAGATCTCAATCTGAAACTTCTTTTTACATGGATGCCATACGAGGTAAGCCGGAGCTGTCCTTGTCCAATACCTGTCCATAAAAACTAAATGGCGGTAGGGGTGCATGTGCAGCGCAATGCGGGGTGCAGGAGGGGACCTGATGAATCCCAATTTGTGCACCGGTTAGTCACGTGGTAGTTCACCAAAGAGTACATGTTGAATGGACATCTTCAAGTTTTATTAGGGGAACGCTAACAACAGCATAATAGATAATAGACAACAGATGCTTCAATGATGCTTTTCATAGAATATGTGTTGAAAAACATGCTCTCCGACGATATTCTAATATCTTAAATCAATCCTCTGATTCCTCCTCATGCCTTGCCATTGTGGTGTCGATTGAACTCCAACCTTCAGAATATCTCATTGCTACCTGGATAATATATTGATTGGTTTAGACAAGTTGTTAGAGATCTCGCTCGTGTGGGTAAGAGAAATACTCTTTGGCATTTGAAAAGGTGGAAGAGGCTGACAACCCCAGAATTTGAGATTGTGTGGAATCTCTGGCTCCATCCCATTTCGGGGCATGCAATGTCAAGTTCGGTATGTGTGAGTGAATGCTTCTTTCATTTTTTTATTAAAAGAAAGTAAGTCAATAGTTCTTCTTCCCTTTCTCACTTCTCCTTCTCTCTCTTTGATCCTGTTTCGTGTTTTGGAGTTTGTTTCCAATATTTATGACTTGATTTCCTTGTCTTATCTGTGAGCATGATGATGCAGGTTGGCCCTCAACCTCAAGGTAGCAATACGAAGCTGGATTCATCCAAAGGTATTGAGATTACCCAGAATGGAGGCAATACCTCCACCAGACTCGGTCCGCAGCGGCAATACTTGGATGCCGAAAGGAATTCGTCGGATGCCAGACATCTGAATATGATACTGAAAAATTGACTGATCCGGTGTATAATAAGGATTCTGAGTCAGGTTTGGAAAGGGATCGGAAAACAAGGCAGTTTGCTATGATTACACTTGGTGGAGCTCTTGGACTGGGGTTGATTGTGAATACGTCAGTATGGCCATAGAAACTGAGTCCAAATATAGATAATGATTCACGGGACCAGGGGTCCTACTTTGGCACGAGTTGGACCAGGATCGATATTACTTGGTTATACAATGGTAGGAGTATTAAACTATGCGGTTATGACTGCCGCGGAAGATACTACTACTTGGCTTCCACCTCTTCATCCAGCACAATGTCCCTTCCATGTTCTCTCGCACCGATGCCCGCGGGGTGCAGGTATGTGTAAATGCACTTGAATTAAGTTCTGCTTTTCGTAACATTGTATACATATCCGTGCAGATCGCCGCTCTTCAGACAGTTCCATAATTCATAAGCCGGAAGAAGATTGAAATCCACATGCACCTCCGCAGACTCCCTTCAAAATATATTGATTCTGACATGGAACCATCTTTGTGGTAACAATACGATATCTTAACCCGGACAAGTGTGGCTCTAAATATCTCCAACGCCCAACTCGTATACATAACGCTCTTCATGGATTTCTCGCATTCTTCTCAGAAGGTTTAGTGGACTCAGTGGTTACGACGAGCTCAACGAATAGAAAGGGAAGAGGAGTGTGTCGACCTAATTTGATAGTAGACTATATATAAACTCCTATCTATCTAGCTATGATATTTGATTATAGTTACAGAACGGGCAGTAGGCAAGTGATAACGAGATATGCGATTTTACTGAGGGGAAGGAAAAGATTGATAGGAAGAAGAATTTTTGGAGAAAGGTAGGATGAAGATGAGTGAAAGGGAAGAGATTGACGACAGGTGGGAGAGATTGTATGAAGACACTCGAAATTTTGTTTTACGTGGAGCGCAGGCGGCTGCTAAGGGCGAAAGCATGTTGCTCTAATCGCTCTCATTCTTGATGGAAACATCAGTCCCACTCGCGTAGAAGTTTAGGAAAGTCAAGAGAAGAATTTCTCGATCATATGTTCCTGTGCGCTTGCTCACAAACAGTTTGACAACGGTGTTTGACAAAATTGATTACATATATCACAGTAGAAGTGTCAGTCAAGAGGAATAGAGGTGTCATTATTTTAATTCAGGCATTCGTAATATTTTTTATTACTTATGTTGACCCCGCTTGAAGCCATCAAGCTATCATAAGCGCCTACAATGTCCCATCCCTCGTTGAAAATTTGAAAACAGAAATACAAACGCTTAATCCTCCTTCAAGACCTGAGCGTATTGAGTCTTGTTAATACGCTCTGGCTTACCAGCATCCAATCCCTTGGTACCGATCTTCTCCTTGGAGTATCCGGCAGCGTATGGGTTCAATCTTAAGAGAACTTGCTTGTTGAGCAATGGGTTCTTCTTTTGAACACCAGCACGCTTGGTGAGTGCGGATCCTCTAGCAGCACGGATAACGGATTGCAATTCGGAAGAGTTGATGAGACGTCCAATATCGGCTTGGGAGACAACGTTGGATGGGAGGAGGAAGTCCTTCTTGAGGGCAGATGGGGCGGTGGTGGTACCGTAGATGTTGTCAAGAGCCTTGAAGGCAGATGAAGACCAGATGATGAAACGTCCGAGATGTCCACCTGGTGCCAATTGCAACAAGTTCAAGGAGAAAACATCACAGGTCTCAACACCTGGGAGGTTACGGAAAGCACGGACAAGTTCCTTTCCGTCAGCGTTTCCGTCATAGACAACAAGAGGTCCACGTCTCTGTCTGTGACGGCGGCCTCTGAGTTTACCCTTACCGGCACGGAGCTTTCGGGATCCCTTGACCTTCTCAACATCGGCCAAAGCACCGACAGTCTTGAGGAGACCAGCAGCGGCGGAAGTGCGTGCGATCTTAGCACCCTCGAAGACCTCGGAGTTGATAACAAGAGGAACTTCGGCGACTTCGGAGATTTGGTGACCACGGGCGAAGAGGAGAGCTGGGACACCGGAGGCAGCGAGGGCAGAAACGGTTGCGAATCGCCTGTATTAAAATTAGTCAAAGGATGTGAAATTTTCGAAGAGCAAATTCTCACTTTTGTCCAAGGTTGATCTTTTGGTGCCACTTTCTCCAGACCTTTGTAGGAGCGAACATGCGTCCAGATCTGCACATGTTACCGAAAGCAGCTTGACCAGCACGGTGAGTTCCACCACCAGAGACACGAGGAATACGGGCAACAGCACGACCTGAGTAGATACCACAATTAGCTTGAACCCTTCTTCCCAATGTAAAAATTCTGCTATTCAAATTTTCGCGCGCATTCTTCCCGACTCTATCCAATTCCTAAAATCGTCCGTAACTTATAAAATGTTTGCACTAACCGGTACCCCAGGACTCAGCAGAGGTTTGGTGACCAGCCTTCTCGCTCACAGCGTATGGTTGACGCTTGTTCTTGGCCATTCCAGTGTGGACGGTCTGAACGATATCAGGTCTGATTGGGGAGGTGAAGACCTAATTTTCAATTGCCGTCAGTTTCAATCCTCCATATGTTCCATATTTAATAGCCAAATTCCACCAAATTGATATTGAATATTTCGCATCGAGGTATTCGTACCTTTGGGAGGGGAATAGTGGTGCCGGTGGCCTTGCCATCGGCAGACAAAACGGAAACGGTAGGTCTGGAAGCCATCTCGACGAATTGATGACCTGTGTCGTGGTTGTCGTTGGTTGTCGGAAAGGTGTTGATATTCTTCGAACTTAATTTTCTTCGAAAAAAACTTGTGGGAGAAATTCGTTTAGCGAATTTCGTTGATAAGGCCTGAGGCCACGATAAGCTTTCTCATTGTACAATGTACGAGCCAATCCGAATATGCGCTAGCGCCATATTGTTCTCTCTCAAATCTAATGGCGGGGACCTCATTGATCACCAAGTCTATTATCTTCCAGTACCTGACAATCACTCATTATTAAAATAATAATGACGGAGTATTACATATGATTCCTAAAGGACAATCACCAGGACTGTCATTATCATAATAGGTTTTACATTTCATGTCTCTACTTTGACTACCTAGTGTAAATTCCAAGATCACGATTTCCTACATTCAATTCTATTACCATCGCGTTGTATTGGAGACGACATCTTTTGACCATGACGATGACCTCAAGAAACCAGATTCTGGATTTGAATCAGACTATTATCAAATCTCGTGTGATTTCCCCCTTTTGGCCCTCTCACAATACAACTTCGAGTTCAAAGACATGATGTGGCCTGCAGTGTATATACTACGCTTAGAGGATTCGACCACTATCCTGGAACTCGCCATTCTCTGAACCCGGATCCACCGCAACCCATGGCTTCTCGGCGTTTGTTGTGCGTGGCCATGTCAATGTTTCTTAAGTAGGTCATATTGGATACTGTCTTCAACATCTTGGAGTTCTGGTTGTCAATGCTAAACATCTATGTCAATGATCCGGGCCCCTGTTATGTATTGTCATGACTTAGAACAAGCTATCTTCGGCCAAACTGTTGATAACTTCTACCATCAGTACTGCAATCCCAGGTTAGCCGCTCTTGAACTACTTGTAGGTCCCTTCTAGTTTGCGTACCATTCAATCTCTTCGGCGATAACGGCCAACATCCCTCTACGTCTTGGCACATTATCGCCGCGGGGTTTGAACGCACTGGTCATCATGTTTTTCAACATCTACCCCACACGTAGTGGAACATATATTGAAAAAATCCTCACTTCTTCAACAATAACAACATCTTTGATGGTCTAACGGTCATGATTTCCGCTTGTCATCATCTGGCAAAGCGCGGGAGACCGGGGTTCGACTCCCCGTCAGAGAGTTCTGATCTCATGCGAGTATTTTTGTATTTTTGCCACTTTTGATAGTTTTAATGTTTTCTCTCTCTAAGTTTTGGGTGTGAATCACGTGCTAATAAGGAACAGGGGGGCAGTGTTATGTGGTGGATATCCTATTCATCTCACGTTTTTATAGACTTTTGGGTGAAGCTTATCCCAACCGTTATATGGAGTTGCAAGAGCTATCAAACATACCACTGGATACATATGCCAAGGAGATGAATTCAAGGTCTACTCGGATGGTTGCACCGGACTTACCTTTATTGACCCTTTTTACGCACATTGAGCCGTGGCAAACATGGCTATTATAATTCACTTCTTGAAAAATACATAAAGGCTAGCTAGTATTTGTTAAAAAACGTGACTTGAGGAATCAAGAGATCCTATAGTATCAAATCGCTTCAAACACGAAGTATTCATGAGATTTGATAGTAAGACCAACAGTTGGTATCAATAGCATCGAGATCGATTTACAACTACAGGATGGGTATGGTCTCTCTAGTCTCAGGACTAGCCTCGAAGGGGGGTAATAACACCGCATTGCTTATCGAGGATGACCACATGCGTCAAATTCTAAGCTTCTAGCTGAGATGTTCTTTATGTACTTCCACGAGTCCTCTCTTTCTTCTTTCTTCGGGTGTGATTCCGTTCTGAATTCTTTGGAACAGGATTTCATAGAAGGTGAGAATCCCGTGTGTAGCTGGTAGTTCTTTGCGTCTTATCACAAACTCTGAATTCTGGAGAACCTTACAGAATCAGACTGCATTATTATCAGTGGTAAGCTTATAGGCTGTGGACTTGCGAGGCGTCTCGCATAGCGTGTAGGTCCGTCTCCCTTCATCCTTGTTCTCGAAGCTGGTGTACACCTACATCAAGCCCGGATCAATATGGCTCAGATGGTCCTATGAAGGTCACTAGCATTAGTGCAAGTGATCCGAAAAGAAAATGTCCGATCCGTGAGGCCATTCCGAAAGCTGTGAGTACTATTGTATCATCGATCATACATCCCAAGATATGAATTAGCCCTGTTAACTTTCGTTGCTCATACCATTTCTACTTCTGGGATTGGCTAGTTGTCATTTATTTGCCTCGAAATATATCAAAAATAAAAATGTACTTACACTCAAGTCTTCTAGCGGGATAAACTTGAGGTAGAGCATATTCCAGCAAACACTGGTGAACTTGCTGATTTATCAAAGTTCATGGAAAATTTTAACGATGGTGTTCGTCAGTCGTCCCACTTCGCATTTGATCTTTTTGATATTCGTATCATCACTGAAACTATCGTATACCGCACATTATTCGAGAAAACTCCAAATCAGAAAGCCACGTGCCACTAGTGTCGTGGTGCGGATGGTCGTCGCGTCAAAGGCTCGTAAAGAGATTATAATCTCAGCTGGTGCTGTAGGCTCGCCAAAATTGCTAAAGCTTCCGGAGTAGGACCAGCTTCAGTGCCTATTCGCCATTCTATTCCAATTGTTCTGGATTTACCAGCTGTTGGTCAAAATCTCCTTGAGCACTTTTAATTTTTCCAGATATCTAAGCTACGCAACCCAGAGCGTGGGTTTTCTCTTGAGCATCCCAGTATTTCGGATCTCTAGCTTTTTTAAGGGCATGTGTGTCGATTGGATTGTCAATGAAGCTTTGCCCACTGAGACACTCAAGAAGATTTTTACTGAAGATGGATATCTTTCAGACGTGGAGAGATTCGATGAAGCTGGCAGGATGCTTGTCGAAACCATGATATTGTACAACCCGCTCGCAACTGGCGTATCCGTTGGTGGTAGCTTCGTTCGAACCTCAATCATGCTTACGCTTCCGACATTTTGAGGTTCCCTTGAACTGTTGTCTGCATTACCCAATCTTCCTCTTGTAATTACCGGGAATAACTTTTCCACAGCAATACACCGCGCGATGTAAATTTATAGCACTCGTCGATTACTGCAATGTCTTACTTGGACTGAAATTTAAGACTTTGTGGAAAACAAGGTTAGAACTGGAACCCTTGATCGTGGAAAGTAGGGATGAGGAGATCGAAGATCAGATTCGTGTCGTTGGAAATCCGCATTTTCACATGGTTGAAACTTGTGCAATGGGAAAGGTGCTCGATACCAATTTACGCGTGAAGAGCATTCGAAAATAGACTCGTGGATGTGAGCAAATTTCCGGCGCATTGGGGAGGACACCCTCATGCTTCATTATATACGATTGCGGATCTGGCAGCAGAGTCCATAGCCGAGGGAAAATAGTCTAGACTCTAGAGCGCAAGTCAGTATTTCAACCAGGGTCTGTAGTCCAAAATCATGAACGAATAGAGGATTCTGTCCGTGTAAGGTTTCGAATTCATTTCTCAAGAGTGAGCGAAGAAAATACATCCTGTTGATAAAAAATGGTGAATGGACGCAAAAGATCCTTGAGTTGTATTGTCTCTGAGGTTGGCTACTGATCAGTGAACAGTTTCATGATATCTGACAGATTTGGTAGAACTATCTTGAACATGTAGTCTCTCATCGCTAAACCACCAGAGTCGCCTTCATCGCCATCAAGAAATCCGATGGAAAGAAACTCAAGCTTGACATTGAGCACATCAATAACTTCCTCCCAAGCAGAAGATGAGACCCGGAAATATCTTAACATGCCACGAGAATGAATAACTGTTCGAGCAGGTTGTCGAACAAGCACGAGGGGTTCTTTATATTGTGTGTGGTACTTAAGTCTAGAGTATGTAGCTTAACTTCTTCCGCTCTACAGCGGATCGCCAAATAGAGGGAAGACTACTCTCTATAGCACATGTAGCATGTCATATGCTTCCTCCTCTCATATATAGGAATGAATAGATTTACTACAGACTTGAGCATCCCTCAGCAATATATCAAGATGTTGTTCGCCCTCCGCAGCACAATGGGGTCATGCCAGCATTTCCGACCGGCCGGACCACGGTTTCCGGGTGAAAAGGTTCAAATTCGGGACCTCGCTTGTGGTGCTGGAAAGATGTAGAATCTGAGGAAATTCCTCACATAGGTAATAAGTTCTTGATTAACGCTTCACGAAACCCCTCTTGCAATGGACTAATTGAGGGTCATATGGTAAGTGCGGCAACGTCAAATCTCCAACGCAACCGTGCTACATAGCTCGGCACATCTCACACCCCTGATTCCAACGCCACACAGCCATGATCCGAAATCCATCTCAGACAGATCTCAGATCCACGGCTTCCCAATTTCGCCATCGAGGACTGTTTCAGAAAAATTAGACATCATCTTTTCGTACGAGCATAATACCTGCATAGACATGACGCATGCTGTTTAAGTTTAACTTTACGATGGGCTCTGTGGTTCAGAGTCCGATCTATCATTTCATATCGCACTGCGATCCACCCAGCATCGCAAGGATGGATAGTCAGCATACGATAAACCAACCCATCACATCACCCGCATACCATACGATCACTCACATGAACCGTTGAACAGTGGGACACGATGCTGGGACTGGGAGAAACCCTTCTGGAAGAGGCACCCAAATCTCCTGACTGTCAGACGTCTAATTTCGTCGCCATCCCTGAATCCTGGGGTACATCACGCTTCAGGTATATTACGTTCCGTCGGTGAAGAAAAGGACTCCATAACCCTAAATCTGGCAACTAGACTTGAAGCGGTAAATTTTTGCGATATATTGACGCGTAGATGCACATCACATTTAAGATCGGACGAAAATTTTAAATAAGGGAGGAGAGGCTTCTCATTTTATTCTCCGAGTGAGGCGCCTAATTCTATTTAGGAGACTTGAGATTCGAGATATCGATTTCGAGAGCTCCACTTAAAAGGGAGGTTTATTTCTCCATGAGAGAGAGATACCTTGAGAGATGTGAGCTTACATGCAGACATGTAAGCAAGCCAACTCGTAAATGATAGTTGCTCCCCACATTAGTACCAGGGGACTTCATCCATATACATGAAACTAGCGAACATTCCGTTCACGAAAACCAGAGACGTCTGTGATTGGCGGAATCGGATGCGGAGATATATTTTTCGTCCTCGCTCATTTTACTATGGGTGTCCAGTTATATTTGTTTGGTTGCCATTTACATAACTTTGCTTGTACAGAGTAGAGATAGTATGTACCTTGTTAACTATCTGACTGGGGGAATCTCGTTTTAGTGTCAGAGAGAAAAAGAGAACGTGCGCGAGTAGTTTAAGAACAATACCGTGTTTGGTCTGTGTGGTAATATCGAGGAAATTATGAATGTAGGGTTTGGGGGTTAAGAATGAGGCATTGGAAGGGTTGGCATTTGTGATTTTGCATGCAATGGATAATGGGGGGTGGCGATTCGGGACGATGAGATTTTTTTCTCTTTGCAAAGGAGATGGATGGAATTGAGGGTTTGATATACTTACATGGGTATGCTGGAATGGTGTGTAACCCCGAGTCGCGAGAATGGACGGAGAGATGGAAGATATGAGATGGGAGCTGGAGGACGAGTTGGGATTAGAAGGAGACGGAAGGATGACAGAGATCAAACACCAAATTCCGAATGGTTGGTTGGGTAAGATGGAGGCGTGGCTTTGAAGTACCTACATAGTACACACATACACACACAGCATGCACAGCATGCATAGAAGTATGTATCACTCGAATTCTGAGACACATGATGCAAAAGCGTTGGGAGGGGGTCGTATTATCCATGTACCTACATAATTGTGAAAAAAACAAAAAAAACAGAAAAATCTCGTGTTGTGCCAAATTATATATATAATCACAGGAATGCATAGAGGAATATCTTCACCGTAGAAGAGGATTACATGACATGGCATGACATGATGTTGTACCGGTACATAGATCCACAGACACCAAGAAACACAACATGAGAACCAAATTCTCCGGGGATTTGGAGAAAAATCGGGTTGGATGTGCAGTTGCGGTTGCAGTATGCCTTGAGAGCGTGGGGTTGTGTTCGCGTTGGCGTTGGTGTGACTTTTGTTCGATGTTCCTCGAGCTGACCACCGACCGGATGTCCGAAGTTGCGGTCCGTATCTCCTTGGTTGTTGATGGCGTCGTGGTATTTTAAGCATGGATTTTTGTATATCTGTACCACGTGGACCGGAAGATTTCGTGGAATTTTCTCACACGTAGATGGAATAGGTCAAAGGAACGGTGATCATGGGTAAAAAAAACTTGCTCGATTCGATGATTGAATGGCAGTTGTAAATTGTCATACTACTCCTTTGCTATGCTATGCTATGCTAATCCCATTTCATCTCATCTCATCTCAACTCATGCATCTCTCTCCTTCCTTCCTTCTTCCTTCCTTCCTTCCCAAAGTCTCTTGGACTTTATCCAACCCGAGTAAAAATTACACATTTCCATCTAGGATTTTGCCTCCCCAACACCAGAATCCATCCAAAAAAGATCAATCGATCAACTGTAATAAAATAAACAGTAACGAGATATTGTAAACATATGCAATGCGCGCTGGCAGAGATAGTAAAGTAGTAAGAAGCCAAGGTATTTCCTTCCAAAATCCCAACCCTAAACGCCTTGCGGAAAACAAATAAAAAACAAATAGCAAGATAGTTAGATAGCCTCCGTAGCGGTCATTGTGTTGTACCGGTAATCCCATCCCAAAAACTCCTGTTGCCAAAAAAAGAGAGATCGTCCAATTTGGTGTTATGGACGAACGAGAGTACGAATCTGAAGATCGTATCGTATAGTAGAGCGTATCATGGTGTCGAAAGGACAAATAAAATAATAACAAATAAAAAAAAGTAGTAGATATGAGGAATTCAAGTGTCTATTTCTTAACACTCTTTCTTCTGTTTCCCATCCCCATGCCCATCCAACCCTTTAAGCCCGGACTACTTGTACTTTGCGGAGTAATTGGAGTCTTGGGCGGGGCCTCGCGGATGACATTCTTCATGATATCTTCATATCTGACAGGCGCCCTCTCATCGATTGCTGATTGTGTTTCCTGTGCCTTCTTTGTCTTCTCCCTTTCTTCGTGCACATATAAAGGTGCTGTGGAGGATCTTTTCATACTTCCGAATTTGCTATCTTTGGGTGTTCGCTCTTCAACTGTGAGTAAGCTAGTTTTAGACGCATTGCTATGGGTCAAGGATGATTTTGAAGTATTGCTGTGAGTGGATGCCACGGAACTAGTAGTGTATGACAAATTTAGTTTTGGCATACTGGGACGCTTCTTGGTGAAGGAGCGGGTGAGCCCTTGGAGCCCTTCCATGAGACTATTGGGTGTTTTGGGTCGTTCGTGATGCATTGATTTGGGGCGACGAGATTGGAAGCTTTGTTCTGGTTCAGGGAGGACTGGAAGATTTTCGGTTTGTGGAGATGGTGTGGGCGAGGGGAACGGATCTGAGGAGAGAAAAGCGTGCTGTGGAGAGGAATTCGAGGCAGCAGAGGTGGGTTGTAGAAAGGTCATGCTGGAATTGAGTTTAGAGGGTTGTTGCGAAAGGGTTACGCTGGAGGCATTGGGATGATTTGTGTTGAGTTTGGAGAGGGACCCAAGAGAGGAGATGGAAAGGCGACGGGCGGAGTTTCGCAGTGGTGAGTTCTGCCTAGAGCTTCGGCGTGGCGGGTGTGGTGAAGGGAGTGGTGCCAATGATGCGATATCTGCGACTGAATGACGAATTTGATAGTCTGCCACAGGGGAAACGTTACGAGACGTGGGATTCGAGTGAAAGCTGTTAGGACGGGGGATTTCTATAACTCGTGGTCTTGACACAAGAGTAAAGGAGACAACTCTCGCAGTAACTTGAGCAGACGCACGGGAGGAGCTTCGAGAACCATCATAATCAGATGGAGGAGTAGCTTCGAAGTCGAGCAGCGAGTCTGTGTCCGAAAGCGAAGCATCTTCTTCGCTGGAAAGGTATAATTCGTGGGGATCTGAAATTTCGGATTCTTTTTCTTCCACCACTTCTTTGGTAGCTTTGAACCCATCCAGACACTTCAATTCCGACATAACATTGTTCATAATCTTGGAAGTTCTTTTGCTGTTTCTCTGAGGTATAGTAGGTACTTTAGGCATGCTGGGCTTCTTCTTTGGCCTTGGCCTACTCATCACTGTAGCTTCCATCTCGCTTTCAAGATTTGAATCGTCGTTGTATTCGAAGTTTGCGAAATTTGAGGGTTGTGAAGCTCTTGAATTTGGTCTTTCGATTTCCAATTCCCTGGATGGGAACAAGTTCTTCATAAGAGGCATGTTGACTTCGGGAAAATAAAGGGACTAAATTATTAAAACGAATC